GAACGTATCCCGACAGTTAACGAATCACTAAAACAATTTAGCAAATGAAAGCCGTAGACTGATTGAACATCGTATCACGTACCGTGACTTCGAATGTACCAACATGCACGATATTAATTTCTCTGTGTGTGTGTACAGCTATGTATTTATTAATTATTCTTTAGAATTAATTATTTATAGATTAATTGGTTGTATTATTTTGAGCGTGTTATGTTCGAATCTATGGATTTTATGCATTTGTGGCAAAAATGGATACGTTATATATAAAAAAGGGAACAGATTAAGAGGAATTAAAAATGTTGTTGTTGTTGATGCATTGATTCNTATTATTTTAATTTTTATTCGTATGATTTTGTATTATTTTATTGGTTGCATCATGTTTACGTCAATTGGACAGCAAACTTTTAGAAGAATATTCATCAATGGTGCATACAGGAATTAGAAGAATAATAACAATTTTATAAAGTAGGGATTAATGATTGTTACATTGTTATAATTGCTCATGGATTATGTTCATCTGGTTTATTTTATTTAGTTAACTCAAACTATCAAGAGAAAGCAATACACATTTAATATTAATTGATGAGGTAGAATAATTAATTATATACCTAAGACAACATTGATACGATTTTTACTTGGTTCATCGAATACAGCATATCCTGTTCCATTGAATTTAATTAGCGAAATTATAATATTAATTAATTTATATTTATATTTATTTATATTTTATATTTATTATTATATATTATTATTATTATTTATTTATTTATTAATATCATCTTGTCCTTTTTTACTTTACGAGAGTTAACGAGATTCGAGTAAAATGTGACAATTATTGGAAACTAGAGTCGATCGGTTTCTTCAGAGAAGCTTTCGAGACGTCCATCGTTACTTCGTTCCTCCAGTTACAAAACATTCACAATGCATCATTTCTCTTTACGATCTCTGTCGCAACCGTGTTCCGACGCTCTCGACACATTCCACGAGCTGGTCATCATTCTCTGATAATTCTAGTGTGACGGTGTTCGCTGCGTCGTAAAGTCGCGCCTATAAGAAGACGATAAGAGTGTCTCTAGCACGCAAAGCAAAATGCGTTTCGTTGTAGAGCGTGATCGCGTGGGCGAGCGCTCGCTCGATCGTGGAATCGTTTTCCAGCGGCGACAAGGGAACCGGTACCGGTTTTCCGTCGCGCAAAAAGACAATGCCGCGACCTTAGCGGATATGGTCAGACCAGGTATTCGTCGAGGATGCCCGGTCGCACCGGCTCTTTCCTCGATGATGCCCGTGTCTTTCTTTTCCCGGCGTTGTCGTCGTCGTCGAAAGCCACTCTGCTCCGCGTTCTTCAGCCCTTTGTCTCTCATTCTCAAACATCTGGCCTACCTTCCAGCCTTCGTCTCCGACGTTTTTACCCTGCCCATTCTCATTAGATGCGGTGCCCCACGCTAACTAACCCGCCGGCTGTGTGTTTTAGCGAAAAATTCCTGCGATATGTTGCAGTAACGGAACGTATATATATATATATATATGTATACATATAACACTGCTAGAATGCATTTGATAGTATGTGATGCAAACGGAAAAATTGCCACCATTTCTAATCCATCTGTATTTTCATCCTTTTTATTTCCATTTCATGCGAAGATATTGAATTAAATTTTTTTAGAGTTTTTAATATTTTATGGATTTATTAAATCAAAGCGAATTTATTATTTGAAGGAAATGATTCTCATTCAAGAGCAAAGGTTTTAAGGTTCGAATCTTTTTATAGAGTCTAAAGATTTGCGAATGATACTCAGAACGAGAATGAAAAGCTTTGTTTCAATCTGAAACAGGGGTTAAACGGCTTCTGCAGAAAAAGTTCAAATAATGATAAATAGACTGCGGATCTTTACGCAAAATAAAAATTATGTATCGCGATTGCAGCGAACAGGAGTTAAACAAATATTTGTTCTCCTTTTTAACATTTTTAATATTTTGGAAAAAGTCTACTAGCATCGTTGAATTTATCTGCATTCACTGTTTTGTAATCTGCCTGTATGCACTTTCGTCGCAAGTGCATAAAATCCAATGAAATAAAATAAATTACTGTTGCATTAGATAATATATTAGATGATATTTTATGCACTTATAGGAAAAATGGGTGAGCGAAGTGCAGAACATTACAAAAATTAGAAGAATTGAAGAATTTCGTCGCAATATTTTCAATTTGTTGAAAATATTCAAACGACGCATACATCTTTGTTCAACTCTTGTTTTATGCAATCTATGTAGGCAATTTATATTTTGCATAAAGATCCGAGTCTACTAATGAACCTGCGAGAAATACCTTGAAAAATATATTTGGAAAAATCGCAGAGTAAAATCTACTGATAAGTTTGCACGCAAACAATCTATGAAGATATGCTTGGAAAAATTGCCGAATAAATTAGAGAATTGTTCTAAACGACGTGAAAACGGTCGAGAAAATGGTCCGAGGGTAAATGGCAGGTAAGCTGCGGAGCAAAATGGCGGAACAAGGGTTGCCGGTGTATCGTAAAAAAAAAAAGAAGAGGAAACGCGCGTCTCTCGAGGACATCGCTAGCGGCGCAACGCTGGATCGTAGCGCTCGCTTCTAGCAGGCTTCTCGTTGGCAGAGCCGCACCGGAGAAAGTTAATTTCGCATGGCCGTTGAACCGATATCGCGATTACGTAGGGGAAGCCGGGGAATAATGCAATGACTATTATGCCGGCCCCGTCCACTCCTCTCGCCGTGTCGTCCCGAGCGTGTCGCCCGGTGCGCTCTTTTCCCGGCCCGTGCACAATTTGCCCCCGAAGGGGATGAAAACTCCCCCTTCGCAAAGATCGACAACCTTTTTTTTCTTCTTTTTATTTCGCCCTGTCCCGTCGCGCCGTTTCGAACATGTCGACGCGGTTCGTCCTCGGTCTTGTGCTCCGCCGCGGAACGAGACGATACCGAGGGCACGGCAAACCGAATTAGAAAGCGGGAGACGGAAAGGAGGGAGCCGTGTCGCGTCGAAGTTTCGCGTAAATGGAAACGACACGGTTTGGCCGGTTTCCAGCGCTCGCGGCCGCCTCGGACCTACGCCAAATCGACGTAACGCTTCTCAAACATGAACGATCTATACACACGCGCGTATTCCGTAATCGCGTTCCCCGTGATTTTCGTTCTCGTTCGCCGGCAGAGAGCATTTTTGATTCCAGAGCTGCCGCATTCCATTCCGCGGCCGCGCGCCCGCGATTCGTGTCGCTCGCCGGTTTTCGACGCGCTCACCTGCCGAGGTTCGCACAACCGGCCAGCCTAATCGGTTCAGGATGATACGATAGAAAGCACCGATCGCCGAGAAACGGACGAATCGCTATCTTGGACCGGATCTTAATAATTTTCTACACGGAAGGGAAACGTTTCGACCGAGAGAACCGAGGAAGATGGTGGATTAGTTTTTTTTTTGCGCGCGCGGGGATGCACCAGTTTCGGAGCAGATCTGTACTCCGGGCAGAAACCGGACCGACGAACTTTGGACGATGTCATATTTTCATAGGCGGTTCTGTATTCTCATGCGAGGCCGCTGGAAAACCGCCAAGATTCGGAAGCGAATCATCCGTCTTGTTAGCCGCGTTATCGGCACGTTCGTAGACGATAGCGAAATATAAGAAAATATATTCGGTAGAAATAAGGACAAAACTTCCTCCGTACGGTCACGTTGAAGCAAACACAGAGGAAAATCGCGTACCTTCCGCGCACTTGTCCGATCTGCAACAATTTCAACCGCGGTTTCTCGCTCTGTTCTGCAACGAGATATTATTCTTTCGGCTAAACCGGGATCAAGGACGCGAAAGTAGAGACTTCAGTCTGGAAAACGAGCGTAAAAAGAACCTCGTGAGATTTTTCTGCGTGAAATTACAAGGGTACGAAGATCGTGAACTTTTCGATGATAATTTATCGTTTCTGCAAGTTCGCTGGAGCGGCGCGATAAAACGTGACGCGGATTAGGAACATTGAGGTGGCCTAACTGTTTCCGCAGGTGTCGAAATTGGTAGGGTGCTCCTCGATCGTGCATCAGGTCCGGAGAAGCTCGGCTATCGGATGCGTGGCCATCGCAAACGGCGGATTCTCGACAACAGGTCGCCGGGTGTTGGTCACTGTATACCGGGTGGCATGGAATCACGGAAGGTCCTTCGCCTTGATTCCTTTCCGGTCGAGGACGAGGATGGGAAGGGTATCCCGGGGACAAAGGACAGCCTGTGTCTCTGTTTCGCTCTCGGGAAGGCTGAAAACTACAAAAGCGATCGTTTTGAACAATGCAACAGCCCCGACATTGTAAAACACGACTAGGCTTTTGTAATTGAACGAGCGACCGAGCCGTGCTGATAATAACCATGCAAAACGATCCTAATGAAATTACACAACGCGGTTCGGTTGCATCACGCGATCCGTTCGCTGCTCGGTCCCGACACAGAGCCGGACAGAGGCAACTGCAACTGCGACTGCAACGGCAACAGCACCGGCAACGGCAACAACAGCCGCGGTAGACGCGAGCACGCGTTGCTACTTTCTCCTCGGGCAATGATTTTCCGCGCGCGCAATGCTCGCGGCCGTAAATCAAACCGAGCAAATTGGAATGGCGATCGAGGCGGAAACCGGCACGCCGAGGAAACGATTAATAGGAGCAGCGGATGCCTTCAACTCTCCGAGCTACGCTCCACAGAGACGGCTATTCATACTCCAGTAGCATGATAACTTAATTCGAGCTAATTCGACCGCGGCTCGATGCACCGCATTGTCCACCGTGGACGCGCCGCTCTTAAAACAACGCGCGGATCGCCGCGTTGTAGGTGCCTCTTTCGTGTAGTTGCCGCGTAAATCACTTTCTTAGCCGGGACTCCGAGAAATAAAGATATTACAATGGAAATTTGTTCGTTCGATCGTAGCGCGATGCCAGGACTGGGAAAAACCTGATTTTTGAAATATGAAATAGACTAAATATGTTTTAAGATCAATTTAGATAAACGTTTTTGTTTTCACGTGTGCCACTGAATTTATCAGATAAACATTTTCTGAAATAGTAGTAACAATAGCTTTTCAAATATATTTAACTACGTAATATCCATATGTAACTATTATTTCGAAAAATGTTTATTTACAAACTTCTGTATTACACGGACAAAATTATTTATAGACTATTCGCTGTTTCTAAAATCTATTTCTCCCAAGCATTGTGCAATAATAATATTATTTCTCACTTGCACGATTACTTATTATTTATTTATTTGTCATTTATTATTCATACGATTATCAGAGGCAAGAATGAACCAGAAATTGATTTTCTCTTTCAAGAATCTTGGTGCTTTGATAACATTGCACTCTTAAAATGTTTCAATCGTTGTACGTCCGGTGGCTGCAAAGTAAAACCGTTCTGCCCCAAATCGCAGGAGGCAAGAACGAAATAAAAATTGATTTCCTCCTTGGATTGGTTCGGTGAAAATGCCGCGCTAGCAGTCTCACATTGCTTCGATGATTCTTTTCTATTTCGCGAACACATTGTCGCGCACGCAAACGAAGGGTTTTTCTACCCGTATTCGAGGATAAATTATGATTAAAACGCTAAAGAATAAATAACAATAATAATAAAAATAATACATTTTCCTCATGAACACAGAAAATTCGCAGCCCACTGAAACACCACCGATTTCAGTCGCGAACGAAACGAAGGATACGCGACATTGAGCGCGTTAATCACCGTTCAAACACGTTTCCGTGACAGCAAATGTAACGTTGAACTATATCAACCGGTTCAGAAGAGTTCTCGGAACGCTCCTTGGCGAGGCGCGAGTCGTTTTCCCTCGATCATCGAAACGCACCACATTGTCCGACGCGCCGAGAAGATCGCCGGAGAAGCGGCGAACACTTTTTCCCATTGGAAACACGATACAGACTATCGCGGATCGTTTCTATCCGCTCTCTTTAACGTATTTCCTCGGACCTGTTAACAAACTTTGCGGTTCGGTGAAAGTTTTATTAAATTGTCTATGACTGTGACTGCGGAGAGCTAATCGCGTGCGTACGCGTTCCGAATCTTTTCAAATGTTCCACGGTTTCTGCCGATTCTCACTTTCCTTCCGTTTATAGAGTAACCGGTGCTTGCTGCTACCACCGGTAAGGTCAGAACGATTCACATTGAATTTCTAGTCGCTTTTTTTGCCTAATCTCTGTTCGTCGACCGCCACGTGTTCTCCTCCTTCACTTCGCGCGCGAAGCGGCTGTTGCACATTCCGTTGCAAAATCTGTTGCAAAATCTGTTGCAAAATCTGCTGGAAATTCTGTTGCAAATTCTCGATGCTCGAGTTGTCAATTTTTGATTGTTCCTTTTTTAACACAAAAGTTTCGCTGTTCGAAAACGTTTGCGCGTAACCGGCGTACTTCAAGGTTGCTGCATCGATTTACAAACATGGATATAACTTTGTAAAATATCAGACAGCGAAATTCAATTATAATATACGTTGCTTCGTTCAGAATGGACTTTATTCGGATTGCGATTACGCGAATCAATTTTACGATTGGACTTTCTGCTTTTAAATTGCATTTCACGGGCAATCAAGAGAATTACCATTACTGGTCGACCGGACGGTAATGTGTTAATGCACATCGAGTTACATCGGAGATTGGAATATTTACGAAGACGCAGCAAGTGTCCGTAACAGCTGACAGCCACACGAATTCAGCGAACGCGAGCGTTAGGGTGCTTTTGCAACGTGCGGCGAGCCACGCAGTTCCTCGGGGACTCGGTTTCTTTAATGAAACAGGGACAAACGTTCCCGTTTGACTGCGGCTATTCAAACGGAGCTTCCTAACGAATAGCCGGCCCCTCTGAATGTCTAATAACTCTGAAAAGCACGCCGCGGCGGTGCAAGAGCCCCATAAAGGCGCGAATCCTAGCGTCGCTAGCGCGAGCAACTGCGTGGAGCTAAATATACGTCGACGGTGGCGGTTACGAAATGTCAAGCAGAAGCTGCCGAGTACTGGGTCAGTCGGAGACGACTGCTCTAGAGAAAGACTCTGTGCTCGAGGTGCAATCCGATCGACCCTCGCGAAAACGTCCCTTCCGAATCGCTCAGGTTTTCAGGATAGAGTCAATCGGAGGTATAAGAACGTTGCGATCGTTCGCTATGCGTAGCATTTCGGTCAGTTTCGGAGTGCAGAGGCCCCTAATTCATTGTTCGAAATCATTTCGATTTTATGCATTTATGGCCGAAACGAGTGCAGTAATTTCTCCCTAATTCGCGCTCGGATTGTGCACAAAAATGGACAATTCAACACTAAACCTACCATCGCCGGTCAAGCGACCGATTTCACATTTTTTATTTCATAATTATTGAAATCATAAAGCTGCTTTCGTTAGAAATTGTCGAATGTGCTTCTTTATTCAGGCGCGCACTTGACAGAACCTTCGAATTCTTATGGGAGAGAATTAAAAAATTAGAAAATGTCATTCTATAATTATCAATCCGATAAAGTTACTAAGAAAGGAATGAACTGTTTAGTCAGTTTTTATTTCTTGCAGGCGATTTATAGAATTTCTATTTTACACGAAAAGTCGGCAGTTTATACATCATTTTTAAGCTGTCGATGCAAAAGCAATCTCTTCAACATAGTTTCTCCGTCTCTCGCGCGATAAGGTTCGCTAATTCGGTGCAGGAGAATTGAAATCACTGACTCTGAATATCGTTTTGACCATCTTTGAACTATTTCTGTTAGAAAGTCAAGTTGCGCCTCCGATGCACAATGCACTCTTTGAACCAATTTACAATTGCTTCGAATTGGCCATCGACACGAAAACATCCCTTGAAACCTGACGCGAGAAAATTGCTGCCTGGCTCCAAGTGTCGCATTGATGATCTTCGAATGACTTCCATCAGGAAGTTAAACAGCGACTCTATTGTCCAAGTTACCTTTCGGAATGATTTTCAAGGCATCGTTGCGAAACGCTCGCGAGCGAAGTTGTACCTCTCGAAGACGAGCTAAGTGAAATTCAACGGTGACACACACACAACACACACGCGCGCGTGCACGGCGTTGCAAAAGTCTGTTTATAGTTCGTTAACTAGCGAAATGCGACACAGGATTGTTCGGCCTAGGAGTGCACGGATCCTCCAGGTGGCAGGACACGTTCGCAGCGCGGAGCTCAAGGCCTTAGAAAGCTGCAGAAAAGACCGCGGACCGTTCTCCGGTAGCGGAGCTACCATTTTCTACTATAATTTTCCCGTAATGCTTTTGGTCCAGGCCCGCGGAGAGCAACAAAAACTGATAGACGATACTTTCTAAACGTCGGCCCGATGGAGCAGAGCGGCTGCGCAATTTCCACGGGGTTCTACAACGGGATCGGAAGTTCGGATCCGAAAAACGGTGAACAGTGGTCTCCCAATGAAATTGTACGTACGCGTGCGGTGTCTCTGAAATCGTTGTAACCAGACTGCGGATTTTATGCATTTACGTAGTACATCAAATTTGATACGGTGAAAACATTTAAAGAACTCAAGGACACGATTGCGCTGCGTTCAACTCGTTGGAATTATTAAGAAAAGAAATAAATGTCTTAAGCGCCTGCATCTTGCAGTGACTGCACGCAATTTTTATTTTGCATGAAGATCCGCAGTCTAATTATAACTTGATAAAAAGAAAGAATCGTGCAACAATAAACCTGATCGCTAGACCGTGGTGTTCCATGCAGAATAAAACTTGCCTGCGTTGCCTGCATGACGCAGAAACTGCATAGACATTTCTGCCACTGTTTAATTATTTTATCGATTCGAAAATAGTATAATAGTATTTTTAATTTCTTTCAATATTTCCGCTGTATTTTAAAGCTCGAAGTCGGTACTTTCGCGGGTCACGGGTCATTTTCTTCTGAAATATTTTCACTCGACATAGTTATCGGAAAACCGAAGAGACTCGTTTCCCAGGAAAATCGTTCGAATTCGAGCATCTCTTGTCTTTATATCTTAAATCTCTGGTGTGTGAATTATCCTCTAGACCGAACGTACCATAAATTTAAGGATCCACTTTTACAAAGACCTCGTGAAACTGTCCGGAGGATTTCTGTTGGACCTCCCATCGAGCCCGCGCGTTCCGAAATGTTTCGCGATGCTTCGAGGGAAATGCAGTTTGCAGCCCGCTCGCGGTGCCGAATACTCCCCGATAAAGCGTTCCGGGACCCGGAGGACGGCGGCCGGAAAAGTTTCCGGTGAAAAATTTGACGGGAAATCGTTGGGGAAACTGA